TCCTTTTCAGTTATAAATAAACGGCTAGGGTTTTTATATATAAAAATAAATCACTTACGAATAGCCATTTTGGTAGAATAGTTTTTTTAAAGTATTTGGTTTGATTTTTTAAATAATTAGATTTGTGTTGGTTTTTCTTAAACTGAAGCCTTCTTGAGGTGTATTCTTAAACCTAAAGTTTTCTTGAGGTGTATTTAACGTATTTGTGTTAAGTGATGATCGAACTGCGGGACTGCGGCTCCAAGACGCAGTTCGCATATTTAAGTAAAATTGTTACACACTAATACACAAGTCATACCCAGGGCCGATGATTTTCTGCGTCCGTGACTTCTACGATTTGATTCCGTAGCTCAACTATGCTCGTATTTTAGGTTCATTTATTTTCTATGTCGGGACCTTTCGGAAGCTATATCAGTATATTTTACATATAAACCGTCAACTTTCTGCGACAATTCCGTGCTATCTTTGATACATTCTGCGGATTCCGTGATTTCTGCGGCATTCCGTGAAATGCAGAAAATCATCGGTCCTGGTCATACCTGATACACACGCTTTTTAGATTTTATCGATAGTAACGGTAATACGTGGTTGAAGCTCAATTACCAAGTATGTATAAAATATCATAAATAATAATAAAATGGCTAGGACGATTTTAAAATAAAAAAAAACTCTTACGTTTTTTCATATACAATACAATAACTTTTTTAACAAAAAAACTTTTTTTTTCAAGAGAAGAACACGAAAGAAATCATGTCACTTTACGGCGATTTACCTCCTCCTACACATTCAGCACCAAATGTAGATAAAGAGGAAACTCAACAATCCGCAATGGAAACGCAATCTACGAGTTCGAAATCAAAATCTGCTCTTCCAGGTACAAGCAGATATGGCAAAACCTAAAAAAAAATTTTCCAATTTATAAACATGGATCTGTTCAAACTATTATGATAGTATGTACAAAGTAATGAATCCACTCAAAAGCAAATCACTCACCTGAATAACATTTCGACACGAACGAAATACGTGTGCCGAAAATGGATTTTATCAGTTGGTTGGACTCCAGGAACTTTACGTTTTATGCCTACTATTCAAAGAAAACCTGTTATACGAGCAAAACCAAAACTTATTCCTAAGGTCCCTGTAACATCTCCCAATCCGCCCGCCGCATCGACTTCCCCAAACCAAAACGTCGCTACAACTTCTTCTAGTCTAAACAATGTCGTATCAACTCCTCCTCCTGTTGCTGTCTCTACTGATAGTGAACCTATCGCCACACCTAGTTCTACGTCAATTTCTTCTCCAAAACAGTCTTTAGGTTCGGAAGATGTCAATGATTATAAAGCTTTTGTGAATAATCAACGCATTCAACGTAGCGCTTTTGAAAAAGTAATTAATTATAAATATTATAATAATATGTAATTTTTATTTTATGAGTTCATTTTCATATTACAAATATTTCTTTATAGGGGAAAAAACAAGGAAAAGGTGTTAAAAGGCAAGCACCCTTATCAATGGAAGATGACTATGACCCTACACGTCCAAATGATTATGAAGAATATAA